TGAGAAAGTTTTGGTCTATTTGATACTCAGTTTCCTGAAACAAAGGAGATATACACATATCTGCATAAGTATATGTAAACATAAATGTACATAAAATACAAATATATATATGCATATATATAGAGTCATGTATGTAAACAATTTTGTTTCCTTTAAGAAGAGACCCCTAATGTATTAAGAGTTTTTCTTTGCTGTCTAGAACTTTTGTGTGCTTTAAAGTGTTTAACAGTCCTACTACTTGGTTGCCATCCAAGTGCTTTTACTGATTGGTAGAACATAAACAGAGCACACAGTTTGGCATGATTTACAGTCTTTTCTGGGCAACATGAGTAACATTGATATTTTAGATTAGTCTGAAGAGACATTATCCGGACTGAAGAGATTACACAGTGCCTGCTCATAGAAACTGTGGCTAATGCTATTAGTCTTTAGCTGAATTTACCACAGAACTAGCCAAAACTTGCAAAAAAAAAGCAAGTTGTTTCTTAGGGTACATCAGAAAAAAATGGACAAAGAGATTAGATACACATCATATTAATCAATTTGTTTGGTGAGGGGGTTTTGGTGATAAACTGTAGACGTCCACAAATCAAATTCCACAACAAATTTATTTAGGGACATTTACATTGAGAAAAAAATTAGTCTTATTCATATTTTTCACTTGTAGCTCATACTATGACCGCCTTACATTGTACTTACTTTTGTCTCCCTTATACTTCTTAAATGTCTTCGAGTTTTGATTTGGAAACAGGCAGGTGGTTCAGCTCTTGTCACTACATGGAAAGTCCACATCCCTTGTCAGTGTGCTAGGATTTAAGTCTCACTTTGACTTCCAGTTCCAACTTCCTACTAATGCATACCTTGGAAGGTGGCAGATGATGATTCAATTACTTGGATCCCTGTCATCCACATGGGAGACCTGGATGGATTTTTTGGCTCCTAATTTTAGTCTGACCCACCCCTGGTTGTTGTGGGCATTTGGGGAGCAAATCAGCAGATGGAAGATCTTTACCCATCTGTGTCTGTCTCTGTCTCTGTCTCTTTGCCTATCCCTCTGACTCTCTTTCAAATACAATGAAAGTAAGTAAAAATTTTTAAAAATATTTTGTAAATTGTTCTCTGTACACTTTCACATTTTCTGTGTTTCCCATTTCTATGAGGGGTATTCAAAAAGTTAATGGAAAACACATATTATCAAAAAACTATGCATGGGTTTCAAAAATTTTTACAGCAAAACAAGCTTATCTTAATTCTGTTTTCCATGATTTTTTTGAAGTACCCTAGTATCTTCCAGTGAACATGTATTTGGAGGAGGAAATATCTCTTTTTGGCTTTCATTTATTTTTTAATACTAAAAAATTTGAGATAGAGCAGGAAGTCCTATCTGCTGGGTCACTGGGTCACTTCCCAAAATCAGGAAGCAGCCAGGGTTGAGTCAGGATCCCAGTGTTCCTATGTGGGTTTTCCATGTGGGTAGTAGTAATGTAACTATTTTGAACCATCATCTGGTGCCTCCAGGGAGCACATTAGCAAGATGCTAGAATCAGGAACAGTCTGGACTTGAACTCAGGCATTCCAACAGGGAATGTGGGTATCCCAAGTGGTGTCCAAACTGCTAGGCCAAATACCTGCTCCATCCCCACCTTTAGAATGCATTGAGACATTTATAGAATATACTTCACTTCTAACAGGAATGTGTGTCTTTCATGATCTCATTGATAAAAGAAACAGTAGAGATTTTAGAAGAATTCCTGGTCTAGGTCAATGAGATTTGGTTTCTACTTCCAGTTCTGCTGCTTGCTGAAAATGACAGTGGACAAGTTTACCTGTCTGGGTTTCAGATTTTTTTTTTTTAATCTATATAATGAACATGCTGAGCAAGAGGAATTCTAAGAGTTCAAGATATTCTAAAAATTTTTTCTTTCTACCTTGAGAACCAGGCAGTTATTATTGTAAGAGTTGGTCCAGAATGACTTTTTGTGGCCTTGGCCAAGACCCATCATTGTCTTTGCTTTGTTACATTTCTGAAATACGCATTTCACAGATATTTTTAAGTGATTAAAGTTTACATGTGTTTGCTGTCTTTATATCATGTTAAATGTAGTTTTCCACAACAGAAAACAAGTGTTCTACAAATGAAATCTTTTTATGTGATGTGACTAAATCTTCTTGACATCTACCAGTCTAAATATTAAAATAGTGGGACACAGAGTCTGCATAAAATTATATTTAAATGCATATTTAATAACTTTCTTCATTTCATTCTATGGATGAAAACATTTTCTATTTCTGAAATCTAATGTTGATTATAGTTACACTCCATAGTTGCTATGGAGTCTCTACTAGGGCAGTACAATTTGATTAATTTGAATTCTGCTAATTTGGAATTAGGGTGGTTTTACCCACCTGAAGTTTATTTCTACTTAAAAGAATTATTTTGTTTGCTCATGAGAGATAATTACAAATGACAGGAATTTATCAAGGCAAAAGTAAGAAATGAATATAAATAAATATTCACCCTCAGATATGCTTTTATGGTTCTCGGCTCTTTTAAGAGTACTGAGGATAAGGTGGAATAAAGTAGCCTTAGTGTCTTTTTCTCTTTGAACAAATATTAAAATTATTGGAATGCCATAAAACTAATACTGTGTATTAAGTTTATGAAAAATCTAGATTGGAAATTTACATATAAGATTACTGATATTGGTTGTTTTCTTTGGACTGTAATGAGATTACACCAAAAAGGGTTGGCTTTTGAATCAGTTGATTGTTCACAAAAGAATACCATCTTGAGAATGCTTACAGTAGGATGTTTTTCATCTGCTTGTGGGGGTTACTTTGGAAATATGGAAGATTCTACCTTAATTCTTTTTCCCACTCAAATTTTGAGGAATTTCCATTGACATATAAACTATTAGAAACTATTATCATGCTTTTATACATGTTTTTGCATCTTTATTCTCAAAAGGTGAAGTCATATTTGCAATTACTGCTTTGTGAAATTTTCATAAACTGGGGAGTGATTGAATCTCATTTTTAAAACATTGCTTCCTTAATCTATGTAAGCTATTATATAGATTTTATGTTTTATATTTTTAAATGCAAATGTTTCAGGATTTGAATGTTTAAAACTCATTGTAGAATGAGACATTCCAAACTTGATGCACACATACACGTGTGTTTCTCTGTGTGTAGGAGTATGTATTTTTCCTTCTTTGAGTTCTAAACAAGTTGCTGCTTCTGATTGTACCTGGGACCTTTTTGATCCATAACCATTAAGGGTTGCTATGCAATGTTCCTAATGTAAATTCTTGATGATGACTTATTTATATTAATACCAAGTTTCTTTTTAACCTAATTCAAAATATATTTTGGCCATGAAGGTAATGATAAATATGAATACTTCTTTTTCCACTTCCTGTGAAGATTTCTATGAGACAATTTTGTGTGTGGATACTAAAAAGAATTGGAAATATATCCTTTAACTTGCATATCTGGGTTTTTTGGGGGTATTGTATATGATAAATAAAATTTGTATGTCCTGAGGTAGTGATGGCTGTCATTAAATTAATATTTATAAAATCCATCCATTCCTATTCAATTCCCTTTCCCTAATATATGTACGTATGTGTGTATGTATATGTGTATATACTGCATTAGCATACGTGTTTGTGTTTCTTAGGACAACACTAGTTTGTCCATATGCCTTGATATTGATCTGTATCTTAAGAGGAAGGTATTTGTGGTTATCTCAGCTGGTTTCATGCTGTATTTCTGGCATATTATGTATCTTCCAATTTTTGAATGTAGTTTCTTTAGGATCATTCATCTCTGCTTTTCAAATCCAAATGAAAAATATTCTTAAGGGACTAAATCCCAATCTTTAAAATCTGAGAATTTGGAGAGAATATCTGAAAGCTAGTTAGTTCAGTTGGAAGCACAAGTTTATTGTTTGGATACAGACTTGGAAAGTAAATGTAAGCTCCTTTTCACTGCAGTGATTTCATGTGAATGGTGGTCTGCTTTTACAAGCTTGCATTGATGGAGACAGATAATTCTGTTTTTGGGTAGCAGAAGTGTGCTATGAAGGTAGATAATTAGTGGTGGTGAGTTGCCCACATCAGAAGTAAAAATTTTAGTTTGTAAATAAAGAGCTCAGCATAATATCCGTTTAACCTATTTTCACCTTTTAGAACTGTGCAGAAAATTTGTGACTTTGTTTTGGTGCGTTAAAGAGAAACTTAAAAATACCCAGTCACTTTCTGGGCATTTACAAAGAATTTTCTGGCAGTATTTAAAAATAATATAGATGAACCCTTTATTTGACATCGCTTTCACGAAATACCTCAAGCTGCCTTTGACAGCAACTTCAATTTTTGAACCTCCTTGACAGTCGCTAATCCCTGGAGGTTACTGGACTGGCTGCTGAGCTTTGGAGTGGTCCCTGCTGGACACCTGCTTGGCTAGCTGCGTTGGTCTTTCCTCAAGGCAATTTGTGAGCTGTTTGGGGGCGGGGGAGGAGGGCGGGGGTGAATGGGAGGGGAAAGGGGGGAGAGAAGGGGAGGGCAGCATTGAATTAGATTGTTGATAGCGTCCCTCTGAGGACTGCTATTAAGAGCACGCTACTCTGTACTTCTCTGCTGCAGAAGGCAGAGTGATATTCATGTTACCACAGCATGTTGTGAATGTGTGAGATTTTGCTCATCCTGGATTGGAAATAAGAATAGGGAAAGGAGAGCAACTTGAAACGGAAGCTACTAGAAGAGCGTGCAGAGTTCTGCAGCAGTTTATATTTGTTCTTACATTTTGCCTTCTTTTAACTGGAAATCTGAGGGACTGGCATTTTTTTTTTTAAACGGGCTTTTCCCACAATGGCATTCTTGTATTGTGTGGCCAGAGCTTGCACAGGAGGAAAGCAAGCTGCTGAATTTAGTCACTGATCTCTATTAGCTGTGGCCTAAGGCTATGTTGAGGTTTATATCCCATTTGTATTGTTGCAGCTCAAAAGAAGAATGTTCAGAGGATGACAAGTGTATTCTGAGTAGGTATGTTGTTTCATTTTCATATGAAACCCATCTATTTTTTTTCCTGCTACTATTGGTCAGAAATCAGGTTAATAGGTACAGAATATAGTACAGTGCTGCAGTATGTATCCCTGCTAAGGTAGAACAATGGTAATGCAAGCTTAAAGAAAACCTCAGCTGCTTTTATTAAATAAAGCTTCATTGTGTGGTATGCCCAGTGCAGCAGTGTGTATGTGTGTGTATATGTGTGTGTGCGTGTGTGTGCATTGCAGTCAACGCTTTCCTAACGAGGTGGCACTATTGTTAAGTTGGAATGATAAAATCATCATATTGCTTTAGGGGACAGGAGGATTTAAAGGAGGTACCTCGCAGCCCTATTTTACAGATTGGAAGCATAGGTTTAAGGGCACTGGCAGAATCGTTTGCTTGTTCTCCACGGCAGCCACTGCTGTGTCAGTACAGTGTGGAATGGAAGTCCTAGTTGGTAGTCTGTTATGGAAACGCTGTTTACTGTTATTGTAGTACCGTGGTGACAACATGCCATTGAAATGGAAAACGAGCTCTCCTGCTATCTGGAAATTCCCAGTTCCTGTGCTTAAAACATCCAGGTCAACTCCACTTTCTCCAGCATACATGTAAGTGAGAGAAAATAGGATGTTAAAGTGGGATTTCATTCATGAGTCTACCTTATGGCAAAATGGTGGGGGGGAACCCCAAATAGCAACCTTCAAAAACCCAAAAGATTAAAATCCTCAAGCTTGTTTACATTTAAAGACTTGGCATGCCCACATTTTACTATTGTTTTGTTTTCCTAGAGTTATGTTTATGTTTCTTTAGAGTGCTTGATGGTAATCCAATTACTAATATGAAAGCGCAAGAGTACAGTTAAGGAATTGCATAAGGGTAAACTTTAATTCTTAACTTGGGTTTGGTGTTTTTGAATTTTTGTGTATCTAAAACACTTAAAATGCTTTCTTTGATATAATGACAGTAAAGCTGCTGATGGTAATCGATGGTAGTGTGTTAAATATGGAAGTGTCTTCTATTGTATTTTTTGATGAAATTTTCAACATTTAACAATTATCATATTGGCCCGAAAATAAGTCTTCTCATCAAGACTTTTATGCTTTAGTTTTATATGAATATTAATAAGTTTGATATTACATCATTATCAATTTCAGGTTCTGTACTGTAGATTACAACTTGTGCAGATTTTACTTTTATGAGCAGTTATTTATATATGGGGTTTGAAAGAATATTTTACAAATGTCTGCTTTAGAAATGTCTTTTAAGTAAATATGTACAGAAATGCCTTAGAAAGTGTTTCCACAATTTTTTAAATTTTAGGTTTTGTTTTAAAAACAAAATCCAGAAGATAAAATAAAATGGTTTTTTAAAGTACTTTTCATGATCCCTATTTTGGCATATGAAAATTGGGCCTTTAAAAAAATATATAGCTAGAGGAAAAGCTTTTGAGTGAGATTGCCTTAACTGTGAGTGTTCCCTTTAAAATATTTTTCAGTAGGAAAGAGGTGGAAAATTCCTCCCGCGTTAGGTTAATTGTATGTTTAGAACTCCGGTGAGCTGCCATTTTTTTCTTTAACTTAGTTTTTGTTGTATGTGAGGTTCAGATGCACAACGTCTATCTGGTTCATTGAAAGCCTTTCAGCCGCTGAGGAAGTGCACTTATGCTCTCAGTTCAAAAGAAGTGATTCCCTGGAAAGTGCTAAAAATGAGGACATTTCAGAGTTTAGTCCTACAGTCATTTCATTTTCAGATTTTATTTTATGTTCCTTCCTTTGTACATTCCAGGTTATTTTATCTGTTTTGGGTATTAAATTCTTTTTTCTTATGATATAGAAAGAATATCTAATTTGTAAAAAAAAAAAAACCTGCTACATTTATTTATCAAAAGCTCTGGATTTTTCAAAACCACAATTAATGGATGTGACAACTTAATGGAGGTGACATATGAGTGGGGCTCTTTTAAATGAGAGAAAATTGGGTGTGCTGGCTGACTTTATGAATCTTAACAGCTGAGAAATGACCAAATATTTACCAAAAGCAATTTTATTGTAAACAAAATAAAACCCACTACAATCAATAGATTACAGTTAACCTTTCTAGTATTCTCACCATATTTTACTGTCCAAAAGATCCAAAATGCAGCTCTTTTTGCAGGTGATTTGTCAATTTTTAGAGATGGCTAAATAAATGCTCATTTTAATTATATTAACCACAATCTTAGATATAATGTAATACAATATTTTTAATGAATTATTTTCTTCTTTTTAAGTACTTAACCCTTTGACCTGATGAGTGAATTAATTTAGAAAATGGATCTTAGAAAATATCACAGATTTTGCATGCTGACTATTGATTGTTGGTTAGTGCACATAAATAGAATGGAGAATATATTTGGAGAGCTGATGGTAAGCTACACTATTGTGACATTTTTACAGCATGTTATTAAATTATCCTTGAATTTAAAAATAAATATATTAATACTTAAGTAAATATACACAAATAGAAAATATGTTAAATATTATAAAAGCTGGCCTGAGGAGTTTAAATCATGTTTTTAAATGTTTAGTTTTTGATTGTTTAGATCACAGTTCATTGCCTCATATGGCAAGAAATAAAAACATACTGTTTGAATGTTGTTTTCATCAATGCTAGTTTATATTCCACAGCACATCAGCACACAACATGATACTTAAATTTAGCATAATTTCACTCAAAAATTGAAAAATTAAATTAGATTACTGAGTCAAATAGCATTATATTTGCTCTTATAATTATTTGATTAGTAAACATTAGGTTAAATGGTTATTTGTGTCTTTTTGGTCTAAACTTTTCATTGAAGCAGGATAGTTAAATTCTAAGTCTCTGACAAATTTTAATGTATTAGAAATTTACCTGTGAAATCATGTATAGACATTTAAAATAACATTTTGAATATAGAATTCCTAATGGTTGATAAAAGATCTTTTTGTGTGCATTCTTGTATAGTATTGTTATTGGTTTGTGATGTTTTATCATTGTATTTGTCAATACCCATTATGTGATTTTCAGTGATTACTTGAGAACTTTTTCAAAGACTGAAATTTTAAAATAAAATAGTCTTGATTATAGTAAAAATGTGTTGTAGTAATTGAGCAAGTATGGACAAATACAAAGACTCTTTTCATTGTTGTATTTTGTTGTTGTTGTTGTAAACCCAGTGTAGCTGCTGCTTAGCTGTAACTCTTTTACTGATGGGGCAGTGCTGTTATGTTACTAAAAACTACAATAGAGAACATTTTACTTCCTTCAAACATCAAACAGAAAGACTCATTTTTTAAATTACCAAATTTAAAGTCCAAGTTTGTTTTCTTTCTTGAATGTTTAGAACTTGAAAGATAGTTGAATCTTCCCAACATTTTAAAGACTTCCTAATGATAAAGACTATTTATGATAGTATTATGGGCAATAGTTTCTTATATAGCATATAGCGTTTTAGAAATTGTGTTATAATGTGATACAGGGAAAGTAAAGAGCCTTAAAGATGAAATATTTACAATAATAATTTTTGACCCCAGGACAGATTGATGACCAAATGCTTGGTGTCCACTGGATACATCTAATATTACTCCAGCTTCAGATTTGAACACTTGCAGGTGGCATGCCTGAAGGGCTTGTCTTGCTAGAAATGGAGTCCTTTGTGATAACGTGTTTGCATTACACACTGTTCAACAGTAGGCTGAAGTTCAGCCTTAGCCTGACAGAGGATTTCCTGGTTGGTGTAAAGTGCATTACTAAAGACCCTGCTCCTGACAGGTGTGAACCGTGTGAATTACCCTGCCAATTTTTCTTAAATTAATAACGCTGTAAGGGAAATCACACCTAAATGGTTTTGGTATTTATTGTTTTAAGACAGCAAATGGTTCTTTCAGGCCAGTATTACAAGGTTAGTGGATTGTTAGATTCTAAGGACACTTAAAATAGAACAGGATTAGCACTAGCAATACTTTTATCTTTTTTTCACAAGTAGCAAGTTTTGCAATAATAGTGTGGTATGAATGAGGAATACAATTAGGTAAGAATTAACCAATGCAGCCTATCAGTGAGTTATAGCAAGACAGACATTGTGAGGTGTTTTCCTTAGAATTTTACTTTTAGGAAGCGAAAGGAAGATGAATGTTAGACTTAACTTCTTTGAGCCCCTAGACATGTGTTCATAGCTTCCTGTTTCAATTACTTTGTTCAATATGTAAATATATATTTTATAATAAAGACCAATAGCATATTATTCAATAGCAACTGCTTTATGCCATTTCATCAACAGAATTTAGTAATTAGATTTCCTGAGGAAAGGTTGTGCATACTCTATGTATATTTACGTACATGCTCCTTGTTTGTGGGTGATTGAAATTTAGACATAAAATACGTGTTTTCTAAATTGCATGTGTTGCCTGTATCCCAATGTTATCCTTTCTTTAGTGAATAAAACAGAATTTTTTGATTTGGGAAATCTTTGTTATCTATCGAAGATTTGTTAAGTTATTGAATTGATAACATCCAATTATGAAAAAGTTGCTTTCACAACAAATGTTTTTACTTGTTTATGTCTGCTTACCTTATTTTTTACTATATATGCACAATTAACACAATTAGGTGGAGAAAAAACACACCCAACCCTTAAGGACAATTGTTTTGTATTTTTTTGTATCTTTTGTGGCATGTTCTTTGGGAACTTGCAGCAGGGCTAGATTATCACTTATTCATGGAAAATCAGAGATGGAAGTGAACTTAGATATAATTTAGTGAGTTCCAATCCCTGTAAATTAATGTTAGAATCCCTTCTGTGACACTTCTAGAAGATGATGACCCATGTCCTCCTTGAACATTGTCAGTGACAAAGAGCTCAGTACCTCATAAGATAGCACCTTTCATTTATGGACAGCTCTTTCTTACATTCATCATATTTTTGAACCCCTGATTCCATTGTGATCTTATAGAGCTTTGTAGAAAAAAATTGTATACCTGCTGTTGCATACAAGTTTGGAAGTCTTGCATGATTTGGTTTCTAGGCTCCTTGATCTCCTGGTTGCCCTCACCTGGATAGTTTTTCCTTGTTCATCTTCCTATGAGATGCTGCATCTGAAGGAGGTTCTCCATATGTAGTCCAACCAGAAGAAGACAACTTGCTTCTTTTAAATGGATGTACTGTTTGTCTTAAAGAGCTTGGGAATGCATTATTTTTTAATGATAGGATGCAACTAACCCTAGTGTATTTAGAGGTTGGAAACTTGCTTTTCAAAGGTTTTTGATTGGGTTGCTTGCTCCTCATTTTCAGGGTTTATTGTTTAGCCCCCTTTAGATATTTTAGTCTGAGGAAGCTTGCCATATGCGAGAGAAGTTAAATGTTTGCCCATTTTGTATGTCTTTTTAAAATGAAATTATTTTATTTTATATATTTTATATATTTTTAATATTTTGTTATTTTATTTTAAATTGAAATTATTTAATGTGACTGAAAAACATTGCACACAAGATACTCCAATACATAGAGCTAGTGTATGCCACTCTGAGATATTTCAAAGAATTTTGCTTGTCAATAATTTATCTAGATTCATTGCTTTTACATTTAAAT